ACGTGATTTGACGTAACTCGACGTATACGAATTCGCGATGATTTCTATTAGCCACCACTTCGAAGGATTTTATTCCAATTCCCCTTCGCCATTCTATATTTGTATGCTTCTATCGGTCTTTCTCTCGAACCCTCAAATATTCCCATTCTATCAGAATATAAACCCTCCCCCTCTCCTCCACCTCGTGATTTCTATCGCGTTAGGCGTTTAATCACAATAATTTGTATAGTCGACGTTAATTAAATATCTCACACTTCTTCGTTCCATTTTTTTTTTCTCTTTTATATTTTCTTTTCTATTTTCTTCGGATCGATTTAACATTAAAAACAAAAAGGAAAGGGCCACGCGTTCAATTTTTATATGTTAATACAAACATGGTGCAACCTAACGTTATCGATTACTTTTCTTAATTATTCAAATTTGTAAGAAATGAATGAGACTACGAATTTATTCATTAAATTCTCATTAGATTGATCGAAAATACTTAGACGAATGAATACAAGCTAATGAAATAAGCTTTAATGTTCAAATTTACAAGCAAGCAATTCTGTTTTTTTTTTTTTTGGTTTTCTTTTCTTTCATCGTGGATATAAGGAAAACAACACAAATAAAAAGAAGAAAGAAATAAGGAAAGAAAGTAAGGGTTGTTTAACCAGTCAACGTGTTCCTTCGTACATGAGACGCCCTAAGTGAACTCGGGCACAGGACCCAGAAACTCACACAAAGTACAGCCGAGATTGAGGTAATTACGCCGAGGAGGTTATATCGATCGACGATAAACCGATAAGTTATCCGGCTAAGGATCAGCCTTGCGGTTTAACATCAACCGTTGTACTAGAAATAAGTCTCATAGGACTACTACCACGATTACTAAGTACTATTACTATTACACCACTACAATCACTTTTCTCTTAATTTTTTTTTTTTTTTTCATTAGAATTATAATCCTACTATTTACACTTTTACAGCAGTTTAATATACTTATTCGTTAATAATAAACAAACAGAGTTTATTTATTCCGATTATCGAATGTAATTAGAATAAATGTATTAATTATGTAATTAATTAATTAACTAACTAACACTAAAGGAATACTGAAATTTAATATGAACTTATTCATAGAATTATGTGTCGAATGACCCCTTTTAGAAACAAACATATGTGAATGTAATTATGTGAGATAGTGGTTTAATTTATTTTTCGTTTTGTTTTGAGATATTTATAGGATTATATTTAAACATTAAATGATATTCTACAATTTATAATTTATATATTTCGTAAATTTAATTTAATATATATTTATTAATATATTATTAATTATATTTAATTATTTAATATACTAGTAATATTAATATATTATTATTTAATATATATTATTTTAA